ATATATCTCCCCATGGTTTCTTAGCATCTGGTGTCAGTAGTGAGAGACCCAATGTGAGAAGGTGAGACTTCTTCCCATTTGCATATTGACTCGTTGTGTGTAAACCTGCAGGGTTTTCTTTCACTCTGAATGTTGAGGTTTCCTGGCAGGTGGGTGCCGGGGCGCATGTGTTGCCCCAGTGTCCTTCTTGGCGTTTCACAGATCCTGTGTATCTGAAGAGGTTCCTTCAGCTCAGGGAAGCCGTCTTCCCTGTGTGTGCTGGAGCTCCTGCTATGTGGGCTCAGACACCGCCCCCCTCACCTGCTCTCCCGGGGGTCCTTTCTCTTCCTTTCTCTTCTATGAGCTCTGCACTCTGCCAGTTCCTGAACTCCATCTAGGCCACTAGCTGGGTCTTTAGCTTGAAGCACTTCCTCACCCCCTGGATCGAGCTCAGCGTCCCTTTCTGAACGCAAGAGCTCTCTCATTTTCAGACTAGTTCCTTTTCATAGCAGCTAGTCTTGTTTAGTGGACATGGTGTTCTTTTTCGTTTCTTTGAAGAAACTATTTAGAATTTCTGTAAAAGTGTTTCCCAGGGCTGACTGTCAGATTAGTCATCTGAGGCCTTCTCTCCCACTTGGGTCTATCAGCACTGAGAGGTCTGATATTGGAGTCAAGTTTGGCTGTAGGCAACACAGGACCCTGGCTCAACTTTCCTTGCAGAAGCCTGGCTGTGAGTGGGTGGGGTTTGCCCACCCCCAGACTGCCTTCCATGGGAGAGGAAGGAGGGCGTCAGACTCCCCTGGAGGGGTCAGGCCTCCCCAGAGGCCCTCTGAAGTCACCTGCCCACGGAGGTGCTACTGTCTGCTGCCGGACACAGCGTGATGGGGGCTGCAAGGTCTCCCTGGAGCCCTGGACTCCCCCAACGGAGGGCTCCTGTTTGCCCGGCCCAGCTCTGCCCTGCCTAGGGAGGGTGTCTAAGCCTGGCCCTGGCGTCCCGCAGGTGGAGCGAGTGTCGCACCCACTGCTGCAGCAGCAGTATGAGCTGTACCGGGAGCGCCTGCTGCAGCGATGTGAGCGGGGCCCCGTGGAGCAGGTGCTGTACCACGGTACGACGGCGCGGGCAGTGCCTGACATCTGCGCCCACGGCTTCAACCGCAGCTTCTGCGGCCGCAACGGTGAGGCCTGAGCCCGGCGGGGGGGGCGCTCTGCCCACCCCGACCGCCCTGACCTTGCTCCGTCCTGCCCTGCAGCCACTGTCTACGGAAAGGGCGTGTATTTCGCCACGCGCGCCTCCATGTCGGTGCAGGACCGCTTCTCGCCCCCCAACGCCGACGGCCACAAGGCGGTGTTCGTGGCACGGGTGCTGACCGGCGACTACGGGCAGGGCCATCGCGGTCTGCTCGCGCCCCCTCTGCGGGGCCCCGGCCACGTGCTCCTGCGCTACGACAGCGCTGTGGACTGCATCCGCCAGCCCAGCATCTTCGTCATCTTCCACGACACCCAGGCGCTGCCCACCTACCTCATCACCTGCGAGCGCACGCCCCGGGCTCCCCCCGACGACCACTCTGGGCTCCGGGGCCCCTCCCCAGCCACTTGACCGCAGGGGCCACCCTCTGCTCTGGCCTCCCGCTGCCCAGGCTCCCGACTCCGCCTAGCCTGATGCCCCCCGCCCCCCACTGTGGCCGCCGGAGCTGACCCGGGGATGCCTCTGCCTCCCGCTGCGGGCTCCCGAAGGCGGGGTTGAGGGTTGGGGTCAGCAGCGGCCGAGCGGGGCCGGGCCGGGTCTCCCCCTGGGCCGAACCCCCCACCAGGAGTCAGCAGAGCCCGAGAGGAGGGGGCGGCGACACCGCCCGCCCGCCGCGCCGCGTCCTCGCTCCAAGCGGCTGTTGTTTGAATAAACGTGAATGTGAAACCGGGCGTGAGGGCCCCGGGAACTCCGACTGCGACCTCTGTTTGGGGAGCGGGAACCTCCGCGGACTAGGGGCGGGGTCTGCGGCTCCCGAGGGGGGCGTCGCGGGGCGGGGCGGGGCCCAGCGCGCACCGGAGCGAGCGCACGGCGTTCCGGTGTCACGCACGCTGGCGCCGACCGCGTCTCCTTGCCGACGGGCCCGCCCCGTGCGCCCCGGCTCAGGTGTGCGTCGCTGCCCCGGCCGAGTCGCCCCCCGCGGGCCCCGGCCCCGCCGCTCCCGTGATCTCGCCTGTCCCACGCAGACACGGGCGCCCGATCTCGCGGACATCGCTCGCTAGCTCTCGGCCGGGCCCGCGCGACGCGGCTCTGGGTGGGGGCCGGGGCGGGGCTCGGGGCTCGCCCCGCCTGCGCCGCCTCCGCCGCTCTCGGGTCGGAGCAGTCTGGCTGCGGCGGCAGAGCTGAAGCGAGCGGAGCCACCAGGCACGTATGACCGCGGCGGGGATGCAAGGGCGCGCCCCGTGCGGGCGCTGCGGGGTGGGGGTCGGGGGGGTCTCGGGTGGCAGGCCACACGGAACTAGGGCTGCGCCGAGGCCCCTCCTGCCCTCCCTCGAGAGGACGGCACCTTCCTGCGCGCCCGATACTGCGGAACTGGACGGGCGGTGCCCGGGGTGTGGGCAGGAAAGGCTGCTGGGGAGGCGCGGCTGACCGCAGGGCTCCGGGCGGGGGGCTGCCCCCGGGGCGGCCGGTGGAAGGGCCAGTGGGGGCGGGGTGCGGCGGCCCTCTGCGCGGTGCCCGCAGTTTCCTCCCTGGCCCTTGGCCTGAGGGCGGAGGCACAGAGCCCACATTGTGCCCCCACGCCAGCCCACCCCGCCGAGACAGAGCCCCATTCACCTCCCGCACGCCAGCGCTCTTGGTGACGGGGGCTGAGGAGGGTGCGCAAGTGGGTATTCGTGCGCCCTGGTTGCGCCTGCGGTGCGGGTGTGCGCGCCCCCACGGTGGGCTGCTGGAGCGGCGGCCTGGGCACCCTCCCCGGCCTCACCGCAGCAGAGCTCCCACGGCCCACGCCGCTGCGGCTGCAGCTATTTATAGGCCTTCGCTGCGGAGACCGAGGTGGGACTGCGGGCTGAGGTTGGGAGCGTGATGGGGAGCCCTAGAGGTCGAGACAGCTTGGAGGTGGACTGCCAGTGTCCAGGGGGAGGGCTTGGGTGTCCTTCTCGGATGACCCAGTGAGCGGAGGAGGCGGTGGTCAGCGTTCCTTGATTGCCTCGCCTGCCTGCGATTAGAGGGTTAGTTAGACGAAGAGTCAGGTTTGGGATGGAGGCAGTGGAGGCCCGCGTCTGAGTGAAGGTAGTCGCCCCCTCCCCTTCCATTTGACAGGGTGGAGGGTGGTCTGTCCTGTGCTGGTCCAGCCCCTCGGTGACAGAGTAGGCGGTTGGGGTGTTGGTGACTAAGAAAGGAGCGTGGCAGCCAGTGTGCGGGAATGGGGGTGGCCAGGGTGGTCAGTGTCCTGGTGATGGACTGGAGGGTGAGGCCGGTGGCTGGGTGGGGGTCACTGGGTCCTTGTGGAATGGGTGGGAGGAGGCGAGGCAGCCGTGGATGGAGAGAGAGTAGTCACTGCCTGGGGCGACAGCATGGGTGTCAGTGTGTGTGTACAGCAGGGTGCAGGTGTGTGGGTGCGTGTCCCGGTGAGAGGGTGGGTGGGGTGGGGTCAGTGTCTAGGTTAAGAAGGAGGTGGGTGGGTCAGCGTGCGGAGTCTCCTCCTGAGCCGGCAGAGATGTGACCCCCTCCTGCTCCCCCTCCAGGAGGCCATGTCGGGTGAGGACGCTGAGGTGCGGGCAGTCGCTGAAGATGTCTCCAATGGAAGCAGTGGCTCACCCAGCCCTGGCGACACCCTGCCCTGGAACCTTGGGAAAACGCAGCGGAGCCGGCGCAGCGCGGGGGGCGCCAGGACCAACGGCAGCGTCCTGGACCCTGCGGAGCGGGCGGTCATTCGAATCGCAGGTAACTGCGCAGGGCCTTGCCTGTGCACCTCCATGTCCCTCGCGGGTTGACGGTTCCCGCTGCGTGCCGGGCGCTGGGGCTGGCACTGGGTGGGCGGCCTGGGGGGGTCCGCGCGCCCCGGGGAGTGCGGGCGGCACAGCGCCACCTGCCGGCCCCGCCCGGGCCGTTCTTGAGGCCTGCGCTTGGGCTTACAGTAAAACGGTCCAGCGCCCGGCTGCAGCAAGGATAATTTTTTGGGCTCCCGGGGCAGAGCTGCCCACCAGGCCCTCGGTCTGGGCTGCTACCATGGGGGAGGGGGGCATGTGGGAATGTATAGAAGCAGTGTCTAGGGAGGGGTGCCTGGCTGTCTGGAGCCCCAGCCTCTTCCTGGGCCGGGATCTGGCCTTGCCCTCCATAGCTGCCCATCCTGGGAGAAGGATGGGAAGGACCCAGCGACAGGCCTGGGGAAGGGGGAGGGCAGGAGGGAAGTGGGTGACCTAGAGCTGGAGGCCATGGGTGTGCTAGGAGAGGGAGGAGCCGTAGCTCTCTAGGCCTGGGCTGGAGAGTCCCGACCTGTTCCAGCCGGAGGGCAGGGAGGGCCCCGGCGGAGCCAGAGAGGGCTGCAAGGCCAGGTGCTGAGCCCCGTGGAGGTTGCAGGAAGTGGGGCTGGTGGGAGCAAGAAAGAGGGAAGGAGAGGGTCACCACCCAGCCCCAGCCCCAGCCCCAGCCCCGGCGTCTCGTGTGAGGTGTATGACCTTCAGGGGTTTTCACATCACACAGACTTTTTAAAGAAATAATTCATTTATTTCCACTTGAAAGGGAATCACTTGTGTCGTTCCCACACCTGGGCTTTCCTCAGCATCACCTTTACAGTTGTAGAAGAGTTGGGGGGGGCGGTCCCGAGGCCCCGGCTGACTGTGGCCACCTCCAGCACTCACTGCAAAGGCTGCGCGGCAGCCAGCGCCCCAGGCCAGGGCTCTGCCTCCTGGATGTTTTCCTTAGGACCTACTTCCTGGAAGCCGGACTTGAGTTACAGGACATGTGGTTTTAAGCTTGAAAAAACATGGCCAGGGGCATCCCAGAAAGGGTGGCCAAGATGGTGAAACCCCATCTCTACTAAAAATACAAAATTAGCCAGGCGTGGTGGCAGCACCTATAATTCCAGCTACTTGGGAGGCTGAGGCAGGAGAATCGCTTGATCCCCGGGAGGAGGTTGCAGTGAGCCGAGATCGCGCCACTGCATTCACCTGGGTGACAGAGGAGACTGTCTCAAAAGAAAAAAGACAAAAAAAAGGGTGGCCCACATTGGTGAATGCTGGGAGAGCTGGGGCTTTGCCAAGCTGAGGGGTGGAAAGAGTCGTTTTAATGGTCACCAAGCGTTTTTTCCTTCCGTGAATGGACGATTCCAGTCCTCGCTTGCGTACTTAATTTTTGTTTGTTTGTTTGTTTCGGTGTTTTAAGGGTTCTTTATACCGACTCAGTCGTCTCCAATGTTGCGGCGGGAAAGTTCTCCGCGGCGCACAGGGAGCGAGGTGCGGGGCGGGCAGGGGCGCGTCTCGAAGGCAGTGAGGCCGCGGACCCCGCGGGGAACAGAAGGTCGCGGCCGCCCCTGGAGCCTGGCTGTCGGCGGCGGCGCCCGGGCGGGAACGGGACGCGGCGTGTGTGCGGGACGCGGAGCCCGCGGGGAGGCGCCCAGTCCCGGCTCCCCGCTGCCCGGCGCGGCCCCGCCCGCCCGTGGGGCATCCTGGGTGCGGGGCGGGGCGGGGGCGGCCTCTTTAAGCGGCGCGCGCGGCCGCGGGGACAGAGTGGCCGCCGGGTGCTGGAGGCTCCGCTGCGCCCCGCGCCCCGCGCCCGCCGGCATGGCCGCCCTGCTGACCCCCGGCGCGCAGCCCGACGAGCAGGACTTCATCCAGGCCTACGAGGAGGTGCGCGAGAAGTACAAAGGTAGGCGCCCGCCCGGCGCTGCGCACAGGACAGCCCCGCCGTCCGCTCCTTGTCCACGCGGCCGTCCCGATCGCCAGCCCGAGCGCTGCCGTTCCGCCGTCCCGCCGTCCTCGTCCTCCTGGCTCGTGCCCAGGGAACGGGGCGGGCGCGCGCCGCTGAGCCCCCGCGGCCATGCCCTTAATAGGGCATCTCGCGGTGCGGGTGGGTGGGGGCGCTCAGGGCTTGTCGGGGTCGGCTGTCTGAGCCAGGATTCGGTGTCTGTGCCCAGCAAACACATGGGTCCAGGCTGAGCCATCCCCTGCCCCTCCTCTGGGGCACCTCTGCATGGGACAGGGGTGGCTGCGCCGCCTGGCAATGGATTGCATAGTTGCCGCCTCTCCTCACCTCCCCAAACTGGCAAGGGCCTGGGCTGCCACCCTTCCTTGGCAGGGCACCCCCACACACCCCTTCTGTTTCTTGGGGGACAGCTGTGGGCTAAGGGTCAGGCTAGGGGACCATCAGAGTGGCCTGACCCCTGCTTGGTGCCTCAGCAGGCCCCCTTGCCCTAGTCCAGGCCCACAGGGAGCCCCTGGACCCTCCCAGGCTCTGGCGCACGCCTGCCATTCTTGCAGCCCAGCTGCCTGGCTCTGCCTGGGTCGTCCGGCTCCAGGCAGTTGTGGACACCGCATTGGCTTCCAGCCGGCAGAGGCTTAGAGGCAATGGACTGAGCTGCTGGAGAGGGTCGGGGTGGGGGCCCTGGGCAGAGCACATCAGAGCAGGTTCCAGCTCCACGTGGCTGGTTTTGCTGGCTCTGCCCCCAAGGGCAGCTCAGGGAGAGAGGTCCTGCTGGGGCCCCATGGTGCTGCTCTCCACCACAACCTTGCCCAGCCAGGTAGGTTTCATGGTGCCCGGAGCTCACCTTCTTCAGGTGTCCTCCACGGACGGCTCTGGGGCAGGGTGGATGTGCTGCTGTGGTTCCCTTTGACAGCGCTGTGCCCAGCCCCTTTGCCTGTGTGACTAGTTCATTCAGGGCAGGGGAGACACTCCTACACCCTTGGGGAGGCCTTGAGTGGGCGGCTTGTCGCTCATGCTCTGCACAGCCGGCCCTGCCTTGGAGGGAGCACCTGG